AGGGGGGGGGGGGGAGAGTCAGAGCAGGGATGGGGAGAGTGCAGTGGTTCTCAGAACTAGTATTTATTTGCTACCACCAATCAATCCATCAGCGGAAAGCCCCCCAAAACAGGAGAAAGAAAACAGATTTCCTCCTCAGAAGCCTTTTATCTCCAGAAGGAAATGAATTTTCTTCTGTCTTGGCTGACCAACCTCCGTCTCATGTTCTCTGGCCAGATCACATTCTTTGAGTTCACGTAGAGGGGGCTAGGTGCTAGAGGGGAAAAGTAATATTGGCATATGTCCTTGTTAGGGTCCCATTTTACTGATGGGAAGCTGAGGCTCAGGGAGTCAATGCTCTCCAGTCAGCTCTCATCTCACTGGTGAGCCTCTTCCTGCCATTTTGAACTTGGAGAGCGAGAGGAGCCTTAAGGCTTGAGAACTCAACTCCTCAGTCCTGGCAAGCCAGTCTGGAAACAGGTGAGAAAGGGATGGGGGGCTGGCCTCCCCGGAGTCAGACTAGTTTGGCTGGAGTTTTCCTGCCTGAGGGTGGAACTCACCAGGACAAAAGCATGGATGCTGGTGAATGCTGGTGCAGGTTTGGTGGAGATTCGGTCTTGAAAGCTGCTTGTGTACCACAGACCCCCAAGGTCATCCATGGCCTGGGATGCACAGCCTCAGTTACACATGTAGGTGATAGATTTGAGGTCAGCCTAGAAACCTGTCCTCGGTGAAGTCAAACTGCCTCACCTAAGACTACTCTCCCACTTTGGGGAATAGCTAACAGCTGGCAGAAAACACGGACCCCTCATTTCATCAGCTGTGGGCTCTGGGATGTATAAAGCCTCTGTTGTGACTGCACCATCTCTGCAGATGTTTCCCTGAGTAATCCCTCCCCAGTAAAGCCCCCTGCACAAATGCCCTGACTCCTATTTCTAGAGAAACCAACCCACCTGCCTCACAGCAGCCATTTAGTGCCCCAACCCTGCAGCGAAGCGCGTCACTATCACAGCTCCTAGGTAGATCTGCTTGTATGCCCCACCCCAGTCAGAAGCAAGTCCAACCCTGACATTTACCCAGGAGGCAGAAGCCTGGAGATATTTGGTGAGTGACATCAAGGACAATGGAACAGGGAAAGCACAGGACGTGCTGGCAGGGACACAAGCCCAGGACACGGGATTGTCTCTGATCTTGCAGCTTCGGACTCTCTCTACTCAAAGTAGCACCTCCCTGGACAGAGCCGTTGTTATGGAGATATGGCTTGACAAGGCCCTCCTCTTTTGCCAGGGCACTCTCACCTTGGTTTACCATCCCCTGAGCTGGGCTTTCCCCTCTCTGTCTCCTTGTCTCTGTTTGCTAATCTCTGGTCTCAGGACAGATAGCCCCTGGTTGACCAGATGGCTGTTTTCTGGAACAGCAACAAAGAGATTTTAGGTATTTTGACTTCAATCCATTGAACCCCAAAGCACCCTGTTTCCCCCTGATCTGTGGCCAATGTGGGTTTCCACACACATGGGTCTCAAACTATTCTCACTTGTCACATCATCCACCAAGGCCACATTTCTTATATGCTCAGGGGTACATGGCTCCACTGCAAGAGATCCTCTTGGGAGCTGTCTGCTGGCCCTGCAGTTGGCTCAGACAATCAAGCTTCAGATAATAAGTCATCTTTATCAGTGACCTTGGGGGTCTTATGAAATGACCTTAGGGCCAAAGAGCAGAGATTTTAGAAAGTGCATCAGTTTACATGTATGAACTGGTCATTCTGTCACTTAACCCTCCTGGTGACCAGTGAGTTCGGTACAGTTTGTATTCTAGCTTTATCAGTGGACAAGAGGGAGATGGAGAGAGTTTGAGTGGCAGGCCAGTAACGAAGGAGCTGGGGGAGGAGCTGGGGGTGTTTGCTAGCTGGTGTGGCTCCAGACTCTGGTCCTCCTCACCATCTGTTAGATCTCAATGGAGTCTAGCTGCTGTTCCTTTACCATAGACTCCTCATTGTCTCCACATTCCAGGCCCCGAGCCAGATATTGGAATATTTCCCAAATCTGTCACATCTGAGCATGGTCTGTTGCTCTGTACTCTGCTGTGATAGATACCTTTATACCAATATTTAGTGTAGGGCACACATGTTTCTACAACAGAAACATTGTTACTCATTTCTCATATTGCTTTGGCCACTAGGAAACTCACATCCAAAACAGAGCAAATCAATTGCAATTTGGAATTAGCATTTTGGTTTTCTGAACTTTTTCTATCTCAGTTGGATAAATGCCCCCCCCCCTTTTTTAAACTCCTTAAGTCATTTTAGGAAAAGGCTACATAGACATAAAGACTTTACTGAATTAGTCTTGGAACCCTGTGAGCAAAGGCAGATCTCTGTGTCTACCTTAATTCTTTGAACAGTGGCCAGGGCCTTTGGAATCCCCAAGAACATTTCATGGGGTCTGAAAGGCCACATGCACACAGGAAAAGCAGAGCTTGCTCAAGCCGGGGTCCTGGCTTTGGTGCCAGATGCACCTTTGTGGGGCAGCAGCCTGTCAGACTCTCACCTGAGCAGTTCATAAGATCTATTGCCCCTTGATGGATTTTTCCTGCAAGCTGGAATTGATCTGTCCTTTTTGTGATTTGTGTGATGTCAGGAAAACACTAAACACCAACGAGGCCACTTTGGGGGAGGGGGGGAAAAAGCAAAAGCCAAAAACCCCCACCAACCAGGCTTTCTGGGCATAGAAAGGGCTGGGGCTGCTGGGGTTATTTTATTTGATTTATTGGGAATAAAGTAGATCTTATTAACATTTTAATAAAGAGAATCTTTTTTGCACTGTGCTGGAAGTGGCCGCCGGTCCCGGGTGCAATTCCAGTTCTGGAGGAAACTCGAATCAGCTGGTACTGCCCAGCGTGATTTGTGAGGCTGGGTCCCAACAGTCCAGAGGGGGGGAAAAAAAAAAAAAAAAAAAAACCCCTAGCGGGCCGCCCGCCCGGGGGGGGCTCGCCCGCTCCTCGCGGGGGGCTCCCCCCCCATCCTCCCCACAAAACGAGGCTACAGGGAGAGGGGGGGGAAAAAAAAAAAAAAAAAAAAAACCGCTAGCGTGCCGCCCGCTCGGAGGGGGCTCGCTCGCTCCTGGCGAGGTGCTCGCCCCATATCTGCCACGCAAAACGAGGGAGCTTTATGAAGGGATCCGTCTTGTAAAGCCATTGGTCCTGGTCATCAGCCTCTACCCAATGCTTTCCGGATGCTGCCGCTGATCTATTTGGGAAGTTGGCTGGCTGGCGAGGCACAGGCTCTCGTCAAAGGCTGGCTCCCACGGAAATATGCTCAGTGCAGCCGCGTGCCTGAATGAAAACGCCGCCGCCGGGCGCTTCTTCTAGTTGGGCAAGATGCAGCCGAGAACTCCGTTCGCCCTGTGCGTCCTGCTGTCCCAGGTAGGGAAGGCGAGCCGCCGGGAGCGCGCTGGGTGCCCGCCGTCTGCGTCCGGATCGCCCTGTGCGGCGATGGCGAGGGGGCGATCGGGGGTCGCGGGGCTCCGGGCGCCGCGGTGCCGACAGACCCGGCTCGGATGCGAGGTCATCTCCAGCCCCCCGGGTGCTAGGGGGCCCTGGGTCCCCTCGCCGGCTCGCCTGGGCTGTGTGCGTGTGTGTGTACGTGTGTGTGTGTGTGTGTGTGTGCTCCGGGAGGACCGAGCTCCCGAGTCCCTTTTTGCAAGCAGGGCGACATCCTGGCTGACATCAAGTGGGGTAACTTTGGTTCGCCTCCTCCGGAGGCTCGCGCATCGGAGACAGTCAGTTGGAGGCGACTCGAGAGGGTCGTGCTTTTTGCCGGCCGCCCGGCAGGGAGAGGCCGGAGCTGGCATCGCTGAGTTCCCGGGGCGCCCGTCCCCCCCTTCGCCCAGCCTGGCGAGCTGCAAAGGCGCCGGATCTCCGCAGCCCGGCTGCTGCTGTCGCTCAAAGGCTGGCCGCGCCCGCACTGGGGTCCGCCGGCTCTCCAGCCCCGGCCTCGGAAGGGCTTGGGCTAGTCCCCTTTCCGAGGCGCAGGCCCCACTGCCCCCAGCACCCCCGGCTCCCCGAGCCCCCATTGTCCAGCCAGCTGGAGCTCCGGCCGAGCCCGGGCTGCCGCCTCTGTCGCCTTTCCCGGGCGGGTGGCGCGGAGCGCAAGGAAAAGTTCAAGCCTTGCCCACCCGGCTGCAGCTGCCTGTTAACCCTCCGAGCGCTGCGGCGCCAGGGCTGGACCCGCAGAGCCGGAGAGGGGACCCGGCTGCAAGGTCCTCCGCAACCCGGCAGCAGCTCCGGGATCGCGGGAAGTTTGGGCGCAGGAAAGCAAGGCTCAGAGGCCAGGCCCGAGGCTCCGGCGGCTGAGGGGGCACGCCCAGCCCTCCCCTGGGGCCCGAGGCTTAGGAGACCAAGCGGGCTCAGTCCGCCCGGGCCTTTTGGGGCAGCCTCTGGGACTCAGGGTGAGCTGGCAGCCTACAAGTGGGTGTGAGCGAGTGCAGGGCCAGAGAGGAGGGAAGGAGGTGCCTGGGGCGCTAGGCATGGGTGTTGAGTTTCTGGCTAGGACTTCTGGGTGCCAGAGAAGAGGCACAAGGGTGAGCATGGGGTGGGAAAGAGGGAAGGAAGTCAGGGCCCTGGGGCAGCTTTGTAAGAGTAGCTGGCTGGTGGGGGTGGGCCAGCATCTCAGAAATACAGTGACCATAGGTGACTCAAAGAGGAGGGGGCTATGTATGATCCTGCTAGGGCACTGAGGAACATGACCACTGCTGCGGCTGCTCCCATCCTGACGTCGTCAATGGACATGCAGTCCCGGGGGTGGTGCGGTTGTGACTCTTCTATCCACCGTGGCTCTCTGGCAGATTTTCCAGGGATAGCCTTTAATTCTTCCCTGGATTCTGTGTTTCTCATACTTCCCGGGCACTAACTATTGCTAAGGTTGTAGGTTGTATGTCTTATCCCAGTTACCAAGGTAGGGCAGAGCATGCCTGCCATGGAGAGATCCAGGCAGAGCCTTCCTGCCCTTTGCTGCTAGGGGAACCACCAAGCTGCTGACCAGACTAAGCTTCCAGGTTCTTCACAGTGGAGGAATCTGCTACCTTGAGTTCTGGGACTGCTGAGTAGATGAGGCTGCATGCAACAGTTGGTCCTAGGCAACACTTGCAGCAGGAGGTCTTGGTATCTGGGGCACTGACTGTTGTCTCATCCAGGACTTTTACGGTCCTCCTGTCTTCTACGGGTGTTTCTGCCTCCGTCCAGATTCCAGGGCTCCCCTAAGGTGATGCTTTGCTGAGGGCAAGGGGAGCCTTCAGGGCTGGGGGTTTCCTGCAAGGCTTCTCCGCAATGCAACTGGTGCACCTCCTCTCGCAGGGCAGGCTGGCACAGGTGGCTTTGAAAGCTAACTCAGGTGCTTCTGAGCTGGAAATGAATGGCCAGACCCCGAGGGGTTTATTTCTCTTTGATTGTTATACATCAGAGCAGGAGCATGTGAGCACGTGTGTGCATTAGGACAGTAAGTGATGTCCTGGTAGTAACAGCATCTGGAGGGGAGGTGGGCCACATGTGCCATCCAGGAGAGTGTGTGTGTATGTGTGTGTGTGTGTGTGTGTGTGTGCGTGTGCGTGTGTGTGTGTGTGTGTGTGTGTGTGTATGTGTGTGACAGGGGAGTTTGGGAGCCTTCAAGTCAACAAGCCAAACCCAAAGTTTCTCTAGGCTGAAAGAAAACAGAAGGGAAAAACAATGTAATAAAGCAAATTAGTCACTGCCCTGCGGAGCTGGGGCAAGCCTGGGTGTGTTTTTCCACCGCAGTTGTATGGCAGGCACTGGGCCCGGCTGATTGGCAGAGCTGCCACTTTGGGCATTTGAGTAGGATCTAAGGAGTGCTAGGCACCATCAGCTGGAAGACCTCTCCCCTCCCCCCGGGGTGTTTTGGGAAAGACCATCCTAGGAGTCTGGAATTTGGGCACAGTCATGAATGTGCAGCAAAGTGGGGGTGGTGTGAGCTAGAGATTCCACTGTGAAGGGATTGTCCACTCCCAAGGGCCAGCACTTCCAGCCAGCCCAGCTCCTCACAACGTGTGAGCAATCCCCCAAGAATTAGATTCCAGGGAGGGGTTCAGGCCTGGAGAGCCATCCTTCCAGAGTCCCTAAAAGTGTTGCACAGAATTCCATGATTTTGATTTAAAGAGTCAGAATCTTTGCTTTCAGGATTTTACAGGCGTCTCTCCACATCGTCTAATGCTCCAACTCCATCTGCTCTATTTTAAGAGCAGGGCTTATATGCAAAGCCCTTGGGATGAGGCAGAGACCCAGAGCCCTAGCAGGCACCCCAGCCCATGGCTCCAGCATGTGGCAGCCTATACAGTTTCAAAAGTATCAGGACACAGATGTGAGAGGCTAACATAACAGTTCACATGTCTAAACATTTTTTTAGCAAACTCCAAAAGAGTATTAATAAACTGCCAGGCTGAATACATGACCCGATTTGTGTAATTCTACGGTGTTACTGAAAGCTTCTGAAGTCCTCTTATCTGATCCTCCCGCTCCTGCCCTCCTTCCCTTCTTCCGATTTCCTATTTTGAGTCCTCCTTAGTAAAGTCTATTGACGTATCCTCTGTGTTTTAGAGTAAAACACATCTGAAAATTCCAATTGGATTCGCCTCCTGAGCTACACCCTAAAGTTCAATCTTCATATGAAGGGAGAACTGGGCTCTTCAAAATGTTGTCCTCTCTCGCCTTGTTTGAGGAGCACATATATTTTCTGTTTTGTGGAAGGTAAGGGAAAGGCAAAACTATGCCTTCGATTCCCATCCAGATGATAGGCATATTATCTTAATAGCCTAAAATATTTCTATTTTCTTGTGTGTACACACACATCCATCTCTGTGTGTTTTGATCTTGTGCCGTTCCTGATAAAACATTTCTCCAGAAGGGGGCCCCATCCACAATCTTACAAAATTCTGAGTCCACAGCTAGTGTTTTACGGAGCTCCGCTCCATCAAAACGAAACTCCTCTTATTCCAGATTATCTGCTGCCCTGAATGAGGAAGGCTGCCATTTCCCACTCTTCATCTTCGGTCCCTCCTTTTTCCTTAGTATAGTGGCTTCCGCCCTACATCTCCGAGAACAGGGAACATTTTCAAAGGACTCCTTAGACAATGTGGAATGGAATGGAGGAAGTTCTGATGTTTCCTGGCATTTGATTTCTGCTGGACCTGGCTTTATTCTTTAGGCAACAGAGGCAGGAACAGTTCTGCCTGAGAAGAAAGACAATTCTCTCTATGAGATACTATACCAGAAGATGAGTCCCCCAAGCAGAGCTCCACCCTCCAGCACCAGTAGAAAAGGAGAGGGAAATTTCTGTCTGTCATCCAATTACAATGATTAGTCCAGTAGGATCAAACCAAGTGGCCAGCGGCTTGGGCACTGTGTCCATTTAACTGTCAGCAAGGTGTCCACATGCCTGCGAGAATCTGGCCTCCTGAGAGATGCAATTCCACAAGGCCTGTCTTCTCTGCCACCACAGGGACTGGCTAGATCCCAGGGTCCCTGGCACCTTCCACAGACCCTGGATGATGATGCATCCTCAGGTTAGGGGGTGGAAACGTCATCTTCCTCTGTTAAGATTAGGCAGGAGACATGGCATCTCAAACTTCAAGTTCCCAGGCACCGGGGCCCATGTGGGAGGTAGGCCGCACTCTAGTTAGTAGACAGAACATCGTCTGTCTGCTTGGTGGGGCCTGTCTGAACTCTGTGACTCTGGCTTCTGGATAGAGATTACAAAGTGGTGGCCACTGGCCAATTTTAACCCATGGAGGTAACGTGTGGCCCAGGTCTTCTGAAGAGGGTGAATTAATACATTTCAAAAACCAACCCAGATTTTTTGCATTTCTTGAAAAGTCATGGGGTTAGGTAACCTAAGCTCTGCATCCCCAAGTGGTGGTACTTGATTGGAGCTGAACAATTGCTGCCCCCTTTACGTAGAATTTGCCTCTGATTTTGCCACAATCCCCCCCTTCCCTGAAACACCCCATGCACTGTACCAATTCAGTCCACTTGACCCTATAGCTGAATGAGTCTGCTTTTATGAATTGAGACTTGATCAAATAAATGCTGTTAACTTCTCAGTGATGTGTTACTTTAAAAGGAAGGTGCGTGGGGCTGGGAATATGGCCCTGTGGGTAAGAGTGCTTACTATACAATCATAAGGATTTGAATTCAAATCCCCAGCACCCATATGCCTGTAACCCATATGCTGTGGAGGGTGGAGACAGGAGGATTGCTGGGTTTGCTGGCCACCAGCCTAGCTCTAGATTTAGGCAGAGACCCTGTCTCAACAAAGTAATGTGAAGAATGATGAAATAGGACTCCTGACATCTCCCCCAGGTCTCTGAACATGTGCACACAGGTGTGTACACCCCCAAACTCGAGTGGTACATAGT